TTTTTTTTTTTTTTTTTTAAATCATTCTACACTAAATCTGAGAACGGAATAGATGCTATTGGAAATTTGGTTTAATTTAATTTTTGGAACCTCAAAACGCCCCCCCGGGCCGCCGCCCGTGTTGAATCACAGTTTTATGCGCCAGTCCATTATATGTAAAAAAAAAATAAAAAAAAATTAAAATTGTATTTCAACTTTACGACAGTGGCTTTGTTAGATTTGGGCATCCAGTTCTTGACCTCAAATCGAACGAACTCTTTGGCAAATAAATTAAACATGTCCGATATTATAATGAAATAACGCCGGATTTTAGGGTGTGCGACCTGTGCCCATCGCACGGGGCGCCATGGCCATAGGGGCGCCCAATAAATATTTAAAGTGTGAACCTCGAGGTCCGGGTGTCCAGAAACGGTATTCTAACTTTTCGTGTGGTCGCTTGTCATCCAATGAGTTTTTATGCAAAGAAAGTTGCATTCCTAATTTGGATACTGTAACACAGTGGTCCCCAAATGGCGGACCGTGGACCTTAACCGGTCCGCATGCCTAACGCTGCCGGTCCCCGTAACGTAAATATCTATTGTCAGATGGAAGTAAAGATATAAAAAATAAATCATGCACCGGTCCCTGGTTAATTTCGAAACGTGTTCACAGGTCCGCCAAACTTAAACGTTTGGGAACCACTGCTGTAACAGACCAAGTTGGCTGTGATTTTTACACACGACTCTTAGTATGTCAGGATGGTGTAGTAATTGTTTATAACATTGAGAATCACGAGAAGAAGTGGGAACTATTTTTTTTTTTTAGAGCGGAAGCAGCTGCACGCTTTAGTAGAGCGAGGCAGTACACGAATTTAATCTGACAGGGATGGCAGACATGTTTTATTTATTTCGTATGGATTATATAAGTATTGAAGTATTGTGATTTGAATGTGATGTGGAATATTGAATAAGCGTGTGATTATTGCATCCTAGAATCATTGCAGGATATCCTCCTGGCAAGTCAGATTATTGTTGTGTCTAATCCATATACATGGGCGCCCGCAGAAAAAATTTCTAGGGAGGGGGGGTGGGCAAAAAAATCCATTAACTTTCCAGGGGGGGGCAAAAAATTTTTAGTAATGTTTTAATGTATTTTTTATTTACTGTAGCGTTTTTGTATGGTGAACGAACGGACAGGACATCAGCTTAGTTACTTTCTCTTTATTTTCTCTTTACTTTAATAAATTTTCTGTCTATTTTTGTCTAAAGAAATTTTATCCTATCAATCCAGGGGGGGGGGGGGGCCAAGGTCCCCCCTTCCCCCCCCCCCCTGTGGGCGCCCATGTCCATATAGTAAAGTACTGAGATCGATTTCTTCAAAAGAAAAAAAAATATTAATCACAACACAGCAGAGAAAAAACTAGGCTTGTCAATGGCATAAGAAGGGTCGGCTTTGCCAAAGTACAATTACACAATCCAAGTGTGAGAGGCAAGACTACATTGGACTGACCAATGGCTCATGAGATGGACATTGTTGTCCATAGGCTCGTTGTCCAACAAATGACGTTTTTCTTGGAAACCCTCTTAAGTGTTGACTTAAAAGACTGATAATGTATTGGCAGTGTTGACTTGAGAAACTGATACTGTATTGGCTGTCGACATTGGGCAGTGTTGACTTGAGGAACTGATACTGTATTGGCTGTCGACATTGGGCAGTGTTGACTTGAGGAACTGATACTGTATTGGCTGTCGACATTGGGCAGTGTTGACTTGAGGAACTGATACTGTATTGGCTGTCGACATTTGGCTGTGTTGACTTGAGGAATTGATACTGTATTGGCTGTCGACATTGGGCAGTGTTGACTTGAGGAACTGATACTGTATTGGCTGTCGACATTGGGCAGTGTTGACTTGAGAAATTGATACTGTATTGGCTGTCGACATTTGGCTGTGTTGACTTGAGGAATTGATACTGTATTGGCTGTCGACATTGGGCAGTGTTGACTTGAGGAACTGATACTGTATTGGCTGTCTACATTGGGCAGTGTTGACTTGAGAATTGATACTGTATTGGCTGTCGACATTGGGCAGTGTTGACTTGAGGAATTGATACTGTATTCGCTGTCGACATTGGGCAGTGTTGACTTGAGGAATTGATACTGTATTGGCTGTCGACATTGGGCAGTGTTAACTTATGACACTGATAGTGTATTGGCGACGTTCACTGATAACACTGATACTTTAATATATGCAATAAAAATTTACTTTAGATGCAAGACTTATTTTAAGGAACCACCAAAAATCAGTTGCATCCAGCAACTTTGGTAAGTCAACTAGCATTGGACTGAGTCTCGTGATAATGACTGCAAATCAACTAGCATTGTTTTGTGTCTCGTGATGATGACTACGAGTCAACTAGCATTGGATTGTGTCTCGTGATGATTACTGCCAGTCAACTAGCATTGGAAAGTGTCTCGTGTTGAGGACTGCCAGTCAACTAGCATTGGATTGTGTCTCGTGATGAGGACTGCAACTCAAATATAGCACCAGCATCTTCTTAATGTCTGAAAAAATAAGATTTTGATCAATCATGTATTAATAATCTCTTTTAAATTTTAACTTCACTTATGTATTTGTAAAAAAATTATATATATATAGGATTTGTGCCCTGTTGTGGCCACAAAAATCAGTGGCTTTTGTTTGTGTGTTCAAAGCAATTGTATATAAGATTTGGCCTGAGACAATTATACTCACTCTAATGTAGTCTGTAGTAGTCTATGGTCACCTATCTTTTTTTACCTTATTAAATTAAAAATATTTAGAAATAATTATGAATTTAAGTTAAATTAAACCAAAAAATGCAAGCATTTAACTGTAATGTCAAAACATATTTTAATGTAATGGCGTATTTTTTGTCAGATTCAGCAAAGCTATGAAGTTGTTTTTTTTTAAATGTAATATGTACAGCACAGATAGATGAAATTCAAATTACAATTCAATATTCACGTAAATCATAAACTTAAACGTTTGTAGTGTTAAATCTTATTTTTTCCATAAACATTGATTGGAGTTTCTCTTTGCAAAAAAAAAAATAATAAAAAAAATAATAATAATAAAAAACAAACAAACAAAAGAGCATGATGGTTTTGTTGAGCAGATTTTAAATTAAAAACAACGTATTTCAATTTACTTTCAAAAGAAAGGACTCTTCTTTAATGCTAAGCATATTTTATGTAATAAATACACTTATTAATCTTAGTTTAAATATTTTATTTTATCGTTACTTACAGCATGTTGGAAAAGAGATTAAAAATAGTGTCATCATTGGAAACAGCTTTCTGAAGCTAGTATAAACCAGTTTTCTGAAGCTAATATAAACGAATTCTCTGAAACTGATACAAACCAGTTTTCTGAAGCTGATATAAAGTATTTGTCCGAAACTGATACAAACCAGTTTTCTGACGCTGGCATAAACCAGTTTTTTTAAGCTGATATAAAACATTTTTTTTCTGAAGCTGATATAAACCCAGTTTTCTGAAGCTGATATAAACCAGTTTTCTGAAGCTGATATAAACCAGTTTTCTGAAGCTGATATAAAGTATTTGTCCGAAACTGATACAAACCAGTTTTCTGACGCTGGTATAAACCAGTTTTTTTAAGCTGATATAAAACATTTTTTTTCTGAAGCTGATATAAACCAGTTTTCTGAAGCTGATATAAACCAGTTTTCTGAAGCTGATATAAACCAGTTTTCTGAAGCTGATATAAACCAGTTTTCGAAATAAGGATTAAATGTTGGATTTGAAAAAAAAAGAGATAATTAATTGCAAGAATTAATCGAAATGTTTTTTTTTTTATCAAATATTTTTAAGCAGGCGATATTTTCCTTTGCTTGCTTTGGAAGTTGAAGTCAGATTTTTTGAAAGATCTTGAATCTGAAGGGGTTTCTACGGTCTTGGTTGCCGTTCGTCGGTCGAAGATGACAAGGACCATCGAGTAGTCCGGTGTTGGATGAGTGATAACCTGCGCGGATGACTTTTGTTTAAAGTGAGGAAGAGTTGCGCGCAGTGTCCAATGGCAAGACCATGTCAAGATAACCAGGGATGGGTAGGTATGCAGGAGTTGTCGGATTGTTTCATTGTATACGCCTTACGGGGACTCCATCTCCGGATTTGGGTTTAGAGTTTCCTTCCAAGCTTAACGAGTCCCACCTATCCTGGTCGCTGGTGATGTTTTTGGCCATCAAATGAACAGAAAACAATTTATTTTTGTTTTGAAGGTGATGGAAATGGCGGTAGCGGTGGGATCCCGATCCCGTTAGGATCCCGTTCTCTGTGGGATCCCTTTGTGTCGCATTTTTGGGCAAGTGCTGAGGTTATATTCTTGAGGGGGGGGGAGCAATATTATTTGTCCAGCCTTGAGTGGCTTTACCCCGCTCTAGCTAAGCCACTATTTCAGGACGTCGTTTTGAAAAAAAAGAAAGGGGGGGGGGGTGTGGGTGGCATTTGTTTTTTTAAAAATGGTTGGTCGTTGCTCTAAAGAAGTATAAGCCTACGATGAAGAGGACCAACCGACATGAGAACCACTGTGGGTTGCGGTGAAAGTGCTTACAGACCAGAAGCAAGGACACATGTTGTCTACGGCAATGTGATTGCAGCTTGCATGGCGTAATCCTTCCATCCCCCGTGGCGCTAAGGCCCATGTAGAGCTTTCGGCCTGGCCTAGCACTTCCTTCCACTCTGACCTGACTATTTTCTTTACATGGCGCCCTGACTATGAAAATCACAGTGAGATTGAGTGGGTTGAGGACGTCCGGTTTATATTTCCCTTTGTGCGACACGCTTGAAGCCTGATAATCCTAAACAGCTGTGACCGAAATTTTCTAGCCGATAAGAAGAAGAGAAAGAAATTAAGTACGTGGGAAGAGTCTAGGATGAGGTAATGAATGATTGTTAACAAATACCATTTGGCGTCATTGCTGCTGTAGCTGTCTGCGAAACCGAGAAAGAAAATACACGGGGGAATATGAATAACAATAAAGAGAACTCCTGTGAAAATCACCAAAACGTTTATGGTCTTCTCCCTTCGCTCATGTCTTGCGAACAACAGATAGCTCTTAAAATTTCCGGTTGTTTGACGGGTCTCGGTGTCAGGCCATCCCCTTTTTCTGAACATGGCTCTACGTTGTCTCTGGTAAGCGCAGAGCGTCATCACGGTCCCGGAAGTGAAAACTGCAATGAACGCCAAAGGGAACACGACGTAAAATAGAAGCTGTGTCAGAAACATCATTTCAGCAGACATCCGTGTCGTCACGCATTCATACCCCGTGTCGTCCGCATCGTAAGGCATCACGAAAAAAGCCGAAGCCAGCGCGGCGATGATCACGGAGAGCGCGAAGGCTGCGACTGTACAGCGATGCTTCGTGGCTAAGTACACTTTCTGGAGGGGAAAGCGTACGGCGATGAAGCGTTCGAGGCAGATGAGCACGAGCGTCCAGTTGGCGATCGTGGCGAAGGACAGTGTCAGGGTGTTGACTAGCTTGCAGCCGACCGACCCGAAGTAGACGTGCTGGTTGATCATTCGGTTAAGGGTAAGTTTAGAGACCAGGGCGCCGATGTCACACGAGGCTAGGAATGCAACTAGGATGGTGGCGGGGCTGATGGACTCCATGGCTAGGATCGTTACGATGGTTAAGGCGTTTCCAGGCAGCCCTATGGCACACAGCACCATCATGTAGTAGTTGTCAATCATATTGCCAAGATAGATCAAATATTCGTTGTCAGTGGTGTCATTCCTGAAAGTAAAATATGCAAATAATATTTAGCGATAGTAATTTCGTGAACTTTCCATCTACTAAAATTACAAGTCAAAACATGCACAAAGGAAACGCACATTTAAGAATGCCAATTTTTACTACACCCCTTTCCCTTATGATACGTCACTGCATCCTTTTTTGTCCCACGCCAATCAACTATATTATGGTGTCCCAATCACTTTTAAACCAAATATTTTTTTACACCATATTTAAATAGAGACGATTTCATTTTCATGCAAGAAAAGAAAATATTACACACCAAACAATTTTGCGTTATTAAAAAAAAATTGCTTAGCGCAGTTATCGGGAATTATATTTTGCGCACTATTGAACTCAATATTGAACCATAGCTTTAAACATTTAAAATTATTTGTAATATAAGCTCAATACCGAATTGGCTGAATACAAAGCAGCCAGCACGTAAGGAAGCAGCCGGAAATGGAAGCATTCTAGAAGCATACTATATATAAGAGATATTTACATAGGCAAAGCTTTTAGACTCAGACCGTATGGGGGCAGGCGCCAGTTTAATGGACGGCAAACACGCGTTTGATGACAGGAAAACACTAATTTACTTTAAAAGCTAACACTTGCTTGATGAATGGCAAAGATTAGCTTCATGAATTTGCAAAGACTTGTTCACTGACAGTCAAAGACAAGTTTAATTAACGTCAACCACAACTTGAATAAACGGAACACACACACATTTTAGTAACAGAAACCACCAGTTAAGTGAACCGCAAATTATTTAAATGAATGGCAAACACTAAATTTATGGACGGAAATCACTACTTGAATGAACGGCAAACACTAGTTTAATGAACGGCAAACACTATTTTACTGAACGGCAAACACTAGTTTTCTGAACGGAAAACATTGCTATGATAAATGCCAATTAAGCAGAACTTAAGAAGAACACGACCTTGTCATTAAAGAGTTTAACTTTTTTTTTTGTGCACACAAACACTGTTTTATTTTAAAATAAATTGATCCTATATTTTTTTAAAAAATGAAAACAACTCACCGTGTACCTAAAGAGTCATTGAACCTCTGCATTTCTGTGGAGTTCCAAGTATTCCGATTCTCCATGATTGAAATTGCAGAATGATGTCCCTCTGCGATTTTCTGGTAAACACTTGCGTGGGAGTTACGTGAACTAGATGTGAGTCTCGGAGAAACAAAAAACAAAAATAACTGACATGTAATGTTGCCAATTTCTCTTTTAAAAATAATATCAATGCGATATAAACGCCGCAGCTTTACTTTTAGGTCATATCCCATGCAGAGGCGTAGCGTGGTGGGTACAGGGGGGGGGGACAAATGTCCCCGGGCGCCAGCTAGTTAGGGGGGCCAAAATGTGCTTTGATATTATTTTATTGATGAAAATAATGGGTTTGAGAGTTGAAAAAAAGAAAAAACGGGCTCTTTAAAATGGATCTTGTCCCCGGGCGCGAATCTTGTCCCCGGGCACGGCTTAAGAGGGTAATTAAATGTTCATTTCTTTTTCTTGAAAAAAAAAATTGCTCACATAAATTTGTATTGTTTGTATTTATTTAGTTTATGTAAATGACTTTAAAGTTTAATAAGAAATGTGTAAATGGCTCGGATAGACAACTTGACACATGAGAGTCGGCACAAAAATTATGAACAGCACTTTATTGGTGTCCGTTTGACGCGACAAGTTGAACACACACAAAAAAAAAAAAACTTTCATGAACCAAACCAGAAGCCTGGGGAAAAAAAAGTCATTTCACCGCATGATCCGTTTTAACGGTACATTGTGTCTCTGCAATAGTTGTTCTAGTCCCGGGTTGGGAAGTGGGCCTTTCACAAAGGGAAAACTACAAAGTGGGACGCACAAAAGGTTTTCTTGTAAAGAAAAAAAAATATATATATTTTTGATGATAATCGAAGAGCGCCCCTCAGTGTGAAGGTTCCCTCTCCAGCAAGTAATGATTCTGTGTTATCGAAATATCAAACGGCTCTCTGCACAATCACCACAACAGCAAAGTCGACGTCACTGATCCCTACATAGCGTCACACGGAGCTTGACAACAAACATTTTTAGAATAGTTTTCTGAAAATTAAAATGCACCAAACACATAAAAACGCACGGAACTCATAAAAAATCGCACCAAACACATAAAAACGCACCGAACACATAAAAAACGCACCAAACACATAAAAACGCATCAAACACATAAAAACGCACCAAACATAAAAACGCACCAAATGCAAAAAACGCACCAAACACATAAAAACGCACCAAACATAAAAACGCACCGAACACATAAAAAACGCACCAAACACAAAAACGCACCAAACACATAAAAACGCATCAAACATAAAAACGCACAAAACACATAAAAACGCACCAAACACAAAAACGCACCAAACACATAAAAAGGGAACAGACACATAAAAACGCACCAAACATACAACAACTTTTTTTTAAAAACGCGCGCGCCAATTTGTATGTTATATGATATAATCGGCTTTAACTGTTCAAGTTTGGAATGCTAATTGTTTATAATCTTCCTCCACAGAAAATCCTAGTGAAACCTTTCAGTAAAATCCATGTTGTTTTACTGCACGGCTTGACATAGCCATCATGCTGTGGTGTAACCCAAAGAGGATATGTGAGGGACAGTGACAGCAGCTTGTACGTTCTCATTTGTTGTTGTTTTTTAAAGTGCAAGTGTGATTGTCCTAACAGTCTTTAACAGGGATCTCCAAGTTTTTTTTACATTTGTTCACCATTTAGTCGTGTCTTTATAATGTTATGTAATTTATCCAGGAAATGGATTAAGAGCCACAATTTTAATATTTAAAAAGAAAACAATGGCTTAAAACAAGACTTTTTAACCGAAAGAGCTTTTTAAAAAAAAAATGTTTCCAATGGGCCACTTCAGATTGGCACTCATTATTTACATTTACTGCCTCTTATTTACTGGTGAAAGTGCTTTTTTTTTTTAAAAATGAGAATTTTAAATATACATTATAGTGAAGTAAAACTGACAAAAATTCAATGTCTGCCAAACGGATCACAAAAACTCAAGTTCTGCCCCCTTGGAGCACAAAAGCTCAAGGTCTGCCCAACGGTTCATAATAACTCAAGAAACGGATCACAATAACTCAAGGTCTGCCCCAATGGATCACAAAACCTCTCGTCCCCCATCGCCGATCATCAAAAATTCTATGGTTCGGTAGACCGGGGTTTGAGAACCCACGTCTCAACCAACTAACCTCCGCAACGCCAAACCTTGATCCACACAACGCTGACCCACAGAGCACCTACTCAAAAATTGATGGCGCTGGCGTTTATAGCCCCGCGGTCACGGAGTGTGCGCCTGCTCGGGCTGCCAGGATACGAAATAGGTTTCCGCGCTCACCTACCGAAAACAATTGAGCTCCATTACAATGCAGCGCTATAGCTCAATTTTTTTTATATTTTTTTTTTTTTAGATCTCTTTCGTAATGCATCGCTGTCTCACATACAAAAAGAAGTTAACGGCTGCGATCGATCTTGTGATCAGCGCTGGTGATTGATGACGCCAAAACAACTACTACAACAGCACTGTTGAGATAATGAAGACCTTTCGATTGGTGGGTTTTCTCATCAAGGTGTTGTTTTTTTTTTTAATTAATGTTCCGATATGTTGATATGGTGTCGTATAACGTTACGCTATTTCTAAAGTTTGTTCGAATCGTTTCATCATTACACATTACAACATTTATTTTTGAATTTTCCTCTTTTTTTGTTTTTAAATTTAAAAAACAATTTGAAAAAAAAATCTTGCCTGAATGCCTGCTGCTACTATCAGAGATGGTCCTATTTTTATTAGGAAAGTGTTGAGACATTATCAAATATTAGACGACTTGACCCAGGTGCTTCAGGGGTTGCATCGGAAGCCATATCGCGCTTCTTCTTACATGCTAGTGCGAAGTCTCCACGTCTAAGAATATGTCTGTAATAAAAAAAAAAGCATTTATATTAACTACGTTTTTTATTGATGTGAAGCAGGCTGGCGACATGTTAGGATCGGACGGCTAGCGGACCCACTTTCCGTCAGCCTATTGGGCTGAAACTTGGCACATAGGCTCGTTGCCGATGACAACACCATTCTTTCAAATTTCAGCCCCAACCCCCAATTTCCCTAAATCCGGTTATCCTGTTCTATCAAGGGGAAGATGAAGTAAAATTCCCGATAACTGCGCTAAATGAGATTTTTTGTTGGTGTCAATATGGCGATTGCGTTTCAATAGAATAATGCGAAATATTTTCTTTTGTTTTTTCTGAAATAGTTTGTGAAATAAATCTGTGGCGTAAAAACGTCTTTATAATATTGATATAGGTCAAGGCCATGTAAAAAAATGATTGGTTGCGAGCCTTGGAGATTGGGGGGGGGGGGAGTAATTTGGGTTCTTATAAAGTGCATTACTTGAATGCATGTTTTGTCCAATTTTCAGCCTCCCCCATTGCTCAATATTACATTTTATAATGGATTTACAAGGAAAACTTTGTGCCCAGAGCTTGTTTACATATGTAGCTAAGTCGCGTTTTGCAGTATCTTATCCTTTAAAAGGCGACGACAACTTTCCCAGCCACTGAGATTTAAATTTGGGAAATAGTAAATTAGATTTATCTTTATTTTAAGCAAGCACTTACGCTCAAATGTTCACACGCTCTGACATAATTTTATTTCGAGAAATGGTTACTCAACTTATCATACAAAATCTAAGTACAGTCTCAAATATCTGTAACGGTAACATTCTTACATGTTTATATATTGGAAGTTCATTAAAAATTATTCCAAACATTTTCCTCGCTATTGAGCTATATTATCGGAAAATTGTAAAACTCGGAATGTTTTTGATCTAAAGAAAAATACCTTAATTAATTTTCTCTTTGGTAGCAGCAATGTTACTTTTAAAG